AGCCATAAACCCCTTCGTATGCCCATTCTTTCCAAATCAAGACGAGCTTTTATCGTGTCCTTTGTCTTCTCCTTGATATCTAGAATAGTTCCTATCAATGTGTCAAACACATTTTTCTCAACATGCATAACGTCGAGATTGTGCCTCAATTTTAGTTTCGACCAATATGAAAGCTCAAAAGACATAGACTTGTGCGTCCAGTTCATATGTGTAGCAGGTCTGGTCCGACTAACTGTTTTCCCAAACGGAGCAAAATCCAAACGATTAAGCTGTTCCAAGATCTGATCACCGGATGATTCTCTAGGTCTTGCGCGACGCTCTTTGTTCCCGTCGAAGTCTTTATCCTTTTCCCGCCACTCGTGGTCCCATGGCAACCATCTTCGATGCCCAAGGTAACACACTTTTCCAGCGTGCTAACCAGAAGTTACATCTTCCTTGCATACAGAGCATGCCATATAACCCTTTGTGCTCCACCCCGACACCATTGCATATGCGGGAAAATCATTCACAGTCCACATAACTGCCGCCCGCAAAGTAAACATCTTCCCAGTAGGATTTATCGTATGTGCGCACACCGTTTGTCCATAAATCCTTGAGCTCATCAGCCAACGGCCTTAAGTACACATCGATTGACCTGCCAGGATCCTCAGTTATCAAAACAGTCATTATCATGTACTCTTTTTTCATGCATTTCCAAGGCGGCAAATTATATGGGAATACGAAAATCGGCCAAGTGCTGTGGTGTTGGTTTAGAACCCCGTATGGATTGAATCCGTCAGTGGCAAGTCACAACCTAACATTTCGGGGATCAGCAGCAAACTCGGGGAACGTTCGATCGAACTCTTTCCATGCCTCCCCATCTGCAAGATGCCGCATCACATCGTCGTCTACCCATTTTTCCTTATGTCATCTCATGTCTGTGGCAGTATGCGTCGACATATACAATCGCTGCAATCTTGGCTTCAGGGGCAAATAACGCATGACTTTTTGTGGAACCTTAGTCATTCTATTCTGAGACGTCTGTTTGAACCTCGACTCATTGCATATAGGGCATGTATCCAATGTTTCATATTCTTTGTAGAATAACATGCAATTGTTTTTGCAAGCGTGGATTTTTTCATAACCCAATCA